TTTTAACCAGCAAAAGAAAATTACTTTATTTCAAGCTCCCTTTTAAATGGGATTTAAAATGCCATTGTAGTTGATTTTTGTATGTTATATGTTTGTGACCCTTTCAATAGACATTTTTATGAGGTAAAATGCCTCTGAGAAGAAGAAGAGTTCTCAGGAATGCTTTTTTATTCTGACGTGAGGTAAGGCAGGAGCACACGACTCAGCATTTTTATCCTTTGAAAACCTACATTAATTTATTTTGACAGCATTTTCAACCCATATAGCAGTTTAGGACTATCTGTGTGTGCTACCTTCCGATTTGAGACAAGTAATGCTTTGCGTGAGACTGTTAATTTGGCAAAGGGCATGGGTTCACATTTGGTTTTCATAGACTGATAGATTTAAAGGCCAGAAGAGACCATTATGATCATCTTGTTTGACCTACCAGGGCATGAGTATCACGCAATCATTACTGCAAAAAGATCATGAGTTCAGCTAGAGCTAGAGGTCGGGTGAAAGAAGAGATTCAGTCTTGAGTTGCCTTCCCCTAATTTTTATCATGAACTTTCCCAGCTTCAGATTGTAGTCTCTGAATCATACCATTTTGTAGGCATGCAGAGTCAAAAGGAAACATCATCCTCAGCTGTCCTTTACAATTACACATCTGTGATTTAATATAGTTGTATTTTTCCCCTCTATGCACCATTAAAATTTTCCAGTGGTTATGTAAAAAAAAATCTTTGCAAGGGTAACTGATTTTGTTGAGCTGGTATCAACACTATTGTATCTAGTGCAATTGCTATAACCTTGTAGAACTGAGTTAACGCAGTTTACTTTCAAGTGCTTGCTAAAAGGGGGTCATTTGTCTAAGTTAGTTAGTTGTTTTTGTTATATTAAAGTAGCCAGACTTGGAAGCCAGAACCTTAGTCTATAAACAGAAAAAAAAAGTTCATATTTCTGGGTGGCATTATTTGAATGGGTTGAAAGAAAAAGGTAACAACACCATAGCAGAAGACACCTACTTATTTTTCATGATGAACATGCATGTTGAGTGTAATACATTATAGCTCCAAACAGAAAATGAGATGGAAAACTTGTGTAGTTATACAGTATATATCACAGCTGAGAGCAGTTGTTTTATTGATTCACATGATTAACTGCCTAGTCTTGGATTCAGCGCTAGTTCTATCCATCAACAAGACTATTTCAGGTCCTTCCTTTCATGAATTCTTATTCTAGCTACGTAAGTTCATACTAGACAGAATTTTATACAAAGTTACTCTTTTTATAAATGTTTTGTAAAAGCAATAAAAGCATTCTCTGTCCTTTGGACTTGTATGAGGACAGCAGAAATTCTAGCACTTAATGACTTTCAGTGGTTTTTTTTACATTTAACTACAGAGTTTCCTCAATGCAGGACAGAAAGCACTTAAAAGATCTCTGTTTCAAAATATCCAATTAATAAAATGAATAGTTGAGTCCATAACTGAGGCTGCTGTATGCATTTAGAAATGGTAAGGTTTGAGTTTTATGCAATATTTTTAAAAAGTAAGTTTATATATCACCATTTATAGTGTGTAGTACTACTTATACAAGATGATGGAAATCAACTGTTATAATGGCCATCTAATTGGGGAAAATGAAAAAAACACAGAGAAAAAGATTCCTGGCAGAAACTAAACTAACTAAAAATAATAAGCCAATGGTACTGTCAGAAGAATGCTATGAATATTAACAGATATAGAAATATTTATGTTGTATAGTTGTCAGACCATGCTAAATGAATGGTGAGCATTCCTTTTGCCTGATACTAGACAGTGTTAACAGCAGTTCCAAAGCATACATGCAGTTTCAGGCAGAGACTACATAGGTAAGTGCGGAGGCATTCAATCTGGCTTTCAGCTTTTGAGGGCAGTGCACATCCACCAAATTAGAATGCATGAAGCCTGTCCAGAGAGCAGATGTTTACACCAACTAGTATCCTTTTTAAAAAACAAGCGTACAGTTTTAAGATTAGTTTGCAATGCATAGCTAAGAAATAAAATTGACAAGTGCCAGAAAAGTCAGGGAAAGATAAGCAAAGGTGGAAATATTTTAAAAAAATATGAATTATCTAGAAAGTTTCCAAAACTGAAATTTTGGTTTGGCTCACTTGCGAGAATCGTCACAGGTGGGGTTAAGGAATATGCTTTGAGTAAGCTCATTTTGGGCACTCATTTTTCATGTACCTTATATGTGGGAGTACACCTTCCCTATGCTTAAATTCTAGTTTTACAACTCACTGTTCTGGGAACTGTGATCTTGAGCACTGGATCAACTTTTCATAAAAGCCAGAGCTCTGAATTTCCAGCTCAGGTTTTACACAAGCTAAGAAGTTTTATGTATCAATGTAAAATGAGTTTAAGACACTGGAAAATCTGCAAGCAAGTTAAACTATTTGTGAAATTAAACCTCGGTTAAGGTCATTCAGGTTTTTTCTTGCTACCCCTTCACAGAATATAGACAGAGCTCAGAGCGATGTCTGTTTCTGGTGAATATTATCATGCAATAGCCAGAGCGGTGCTATATCACACATCTGTGAATGGAACAGAGGAAAGAACCAAACAAGGTAAACACCAAAAGAAAATCCTGGCTAGCTGAAAGGAAAACATACTGCAAAAATTGATTAAATTCTTAAATGACCTTTAGAACTTGCAAGTCAGTCCACCTTTAAATGCTGCTCGTCAGTACTTGCCCTAGTGAAACTGAAAAGATTGACATTAATTTTGGAGAACAGTTGCCAGGTTCTTACTATTTAATAAAGTATCAATATAAACTGACATTCTTAAGCAGAAGCTTAATAAAATTCAGATGCATCTTCTCTAAGAAAAAAACAAACCCTTGCATAGGAAATTGTAACAAAACAAACTTACAAACTTTCAAATTTTGAAATGACACAATTCAAGGACCTAGAGCACAGGAGCGCGCTAACGTTTATTTTTAATAAGGCAACTCACTTTTTTGTAATTAACCCCTATTTTCATAATTTAGAAACACAAAAGACATCAGAGCATTGATCTGAAACCATCATAGTACATGTGGGATTATGTTGCTATTGACTGGATGAAAAGTTATTCTGAACATATTTTCTTTTTGCAGAATTTGAAATAAATTTGTGATTCAGAGAATACTTTCTCCTCACATATTAGTGGACTTAGTTTGAAACACTTTGGGGCTATTTAAAATCTCTGCAATGTTCTGTAATAGCTTTGAGAACACTCTTCACAATATGCATATGTCCCAGCTGTTATTAGCATTAACTATGTCCTGTAATATATCTGAAGTTATCAAGAATCAAGAATTTAGATTTTTCATTTGAAATCTTCTGATACAGAAATTTATTAGAATATAATATTAGAACATATTACACCATGGGCAACGAAAAGGTATAGATATATTACTTTAAAAGTATTTTCACATTTAGACCTCTCTTTCTTTTTCTTTTTTTCAAGATTGAGGCTACCTGATATTGTAACTCTATATGGTATTTAGACTTTGCATGTGAGTCTTGGCTATACAAATGGGTTTCTACCAGTGAACCAAACATGCCTTTGTAATTAAGTGATTATTCACAATGCAGCTTGTGGAAATGCAAGATACAGCTCAAACTGTTCAGTGAAGAATGCTCATTTTTGTTGCTCTTTGTTTTTAACAGACTATAAAATAAATGCAGTGTGGGAGGTATTTTTACAGCCGGGGCTTGTGATACACGATAGGAACGGCTGTGCTGGGAAGCACATGCTGAAACTGTGTGCTTGAAACCCCCATCCTCATATGTCTTGGAAGAGTTATGTGCATAAAGGCATCAGGACTCTGCACTATCTTTGTCGGAGCGGGTCCGACTGCTCCCCAAAATGCTTCCTGCATCATCTCTGCTAAATTCCAAATCATGTGCAGGCCCACAGTGAAATGCCACCAGCATATATGGGAGGAAGAAGTAGGAGCATGGGGAAAGGAAGCCCATTAATAAAAGATGAGCAGGGATAACATTAAGAAAATTTCTGCAGAGACACTGTCACTCGTATGAGGAGGGAAACATGGGACTCAGCTCCAGCATTCCTGTTCACTGCTCTCCAGATGGCTGTACTGGGGATTCCTTGCAGGACACAGTGCCATTCAAGGGCAGGGCTGGTCAGCCTGTCCAGAATACTAAGCAAGGGACTAGTCTTACCCACTCAAAGAGGTGAATAACTGTAAGGGAAAACTACTCACATGAGCAGTCCATAGGATTTTCAAAAAGAAATACATACACCTGAAGTTAGTGAAATATTTGAGTGTTTACTGTCTGGATCCTTTTTAATGCCTTGCTCTTTTTTTCTTTCCTATTTATTCAAGTTAGATTTTCAGGTTTTTCCATCTCTGTGGAAACCTTGCTTTCTATGCAAAGACAGGGCTCTTTCATGCCCAGGTGCTTCCAGAAGACGGAATTTTCCATAAAGCAGCAAAGATCATGAGATCTATAGTAAAAAGCGGGGAGTTACAGTTCCACAGTGCCTTATGTAGCCCTCGTCCCACCACTGTCAGCCCTGGGAGTGGGTCACAGCCTTCACAGCCCGCTCCTTGCTCCCATTTCCTTCTTGCGGCTACTGAGGAGAGGTGGAGAGGCCAAAACATTTATTTCTAGCTGCCAACCTGCTGTGCAGTTGCCCAGTGTCCAGGGGATGGCCTCAGGCCGGAAGATGGCAAGCTCTCCAAGGTGCTGCATTTAAAGATGTGTTATCGCAGCCATGATCCGTTGGTAAACACAGCCACAAATCCTCTCTCAAGAACAATTAGCAAAACCACAATCGGTGATTAATATTTCATTCTTATGCATGTGAAGTTTATATATATATATATAATTCTTCATTTAAAAGTATGACTATGCTGAACATCCCATTAGGGAATATATAGTAGGAAAATATAGCATTTCTTAGTTTGTTTGCCTAAGTATCTCATTCTCCAAAACATTAATGTGTTCTTTTCTTTCTTTTTGACAGCAAAATTTGGAAAGCAACCTCACCAACCTTATTAAGAGGAATACTGAACTGGAAACTCTTTTGGCGAAACTCATTCAAACCTGTCAACATGTTGAAGTGAGTATGAGTTCCATTTGAGATACTAGAAACCTGAATTATGCAAAGTTTTAATTCTGAGGATTTTAAAAAAGGAAATTTTGAATAAAAACATAAGCACAAAATTGCATCAAAGTGATGGTAAACTGGTCCGGGGCTTTTCTCCGTTAAATGCTTTTCTTAATACAACTGACCTTATTTACATTCTTTTCTAACCCCTTTCAGTTATGATTTAATATTTGCGTAGCCTTCAGTATTACTGCTATACGTGAGCACATCAGTATCTGCAGTGTGCTTATCTTCCTGGCTCCTTTATGAGATAGAAGAAAATTTATACAGATTGTAACCTAAAGCAAAGAAATGGGAAAGCCTAGTTCCACAAAGATATTTAGGTTTCTGTCTGCCAGGGACATTTTATTTTCAGCAGAATGAAGTAGTTAAAAACATACATGGACTCAGAAGCCATGAATCAAATACATTTATGTGCAGAAGAAGAAAGGTACCTACAGCCCTTTGAGTAGCCTGAGGATATCATTGAAAATCTCTCCCCACAAACCTGGGAGATATTTTAGATAACCTTGTGGGGGCTGCTAGTCTAGATGCAAATTAAAAATAATCACAGACTAGTTCAGCCATGGCAGCTGACATGGGAGGAGAATGGAGCCTAAAAAAAAGACTTTATTTTAGCAGAACCAACCTTTCTACCTTTTTTTCCATCCTCTAAGACCTTGTCAGTAGTATCTAGCATGCTCAGGTCAGTGAAGCCAAAACCACTATGAACAAGCAGCTTCTGTATCATTGTAAGAAATGCTTGCAAGGGACAGCCCTAGTTTCTGCTTTCTGATGGCACTGTTGTTCAAACACACCGCTGGTGTCCTGGGGGGCAGTCACAGCCCTGAGGCTCTGGTGAGACACACTATCTAGGAAATATTTCAGCCCTACCTCCAGGCAAACTGTAGCTGAGAAACAGCGGAAGTCAAGGCTCAAATTCATGAGGTATGTGTGTGTTTTGACAGGTAGCCTAGATTCCCTGAGTTCATCATTTTGCAGTGCTAACAGTTTTTGTAATTGCTCAAGTCAATTTAGGATGACCCAGGAAAGTTAACAGGATGGGAATCAGAGGAGCTGACATAACATAAATAGTGCTGATTTAAAACAAAGCATGCTTCAGACTCTCTCACAGAGAAAATGTATCTTCAGCTGAGCAACTAATTACTACTCAGATTAGCAGGGAAAGGGAAAACTTACTTTCCTGTAAGAAATGGTTGGGTTTTGTTTGCCTTGCAATATGCTCAGCTGACAGGCCTCTACATAGTCATTCCTACAGCAACCTGGCTTGTTCAGAGTTATGTGCCTAGCAGACAGGCAACATTAAAAAATAATAATGTTGCATAGAAAAGTTATTGTGGTGTTCCACTTTGAGTACAGTTGTCTCTATGTGTGAAAGGGAGTCAGGCTTCTTCATAAGTATCACCTAGGGAATACCCCAGGGGAGATGAGAGAGGAAGGTGTCCTAACCTCTGAATTTCCAAAACACCAATATAATTTAATATAATATAATATAATGTCAGCTCTGACATGCACTGCCAGAACCCAAGCACACAGCTGCAGAAAGACAGCCTTCCCTGCTGCAGGTCTGCTTTACAGTGAAGCCTCTTCGTCATCCCTATAAAATTCCGAGTAAGTTTACTATAGTATTTACTTCTTTATTGTTTTCTTCAGACTGAAGTTTAGTCTGCTAATTAAGCCAAGAGTGACCATTGCTTGTGAATAGGTTCAAACTCATATCTTAAAAATTAGGCACCTGCTTAAGTACCTTATGACTTGAGCAATGGTGAATTCTGCAAATTGTGAATATATATATGTGTGTGCGTGTATGTGTGCATATATATATATATATATATATATATATATATATATATTTTACTTCCAAAGAAAACATCTCTGTCTTCCGTTTTCTAGCTGGCCTGTGATCTCTGTGGAGCCTCAATGACTTTGTGGGGCTCAACAAAAAACATAAAAGCCCATCCACAGAATTAGGCTTGAGGTAAATGGTATAAATACAGTAATAACATCAGCTAGAACAAATGTAGTAGATAACAAGAGACAGAGACAAGGTATCTTTGTTTTATATTTTACTGCATATAAAACTCAGAGCAAAAATCCTGAAGCAGATGAGTGTAGGAAAGCATAAGTTCTCATCTTCATTAGTGGCCTATTTCCAAGGCGTACTAGATCTGGAAAACTTAAAATTGCCCTTCTGTTTCTTTTGCATTCTGTGCTATATTATGAACTAAAAGGTTTAATATTACAAAAAAAATCCAACTTGTTCAACTGGTAACAGATGTGCTACTGTCTCTTGAGTCTTGTTTTAGAAAAACTCTCTCTAGACATAAAGCAAGAGTGGCAAAGTTGTTAATAAATTCCTACCACATTTTATTCAGATAATTAGTCTAATTAGCATTTAAATTGGCTATATATTGGGCATCTGAGGATCTGGAAGTAAACGTTAAAGCTATCTCTGTTTTTCATAACTCAACTGAAACTTCAAATATAATGTAAATGCCTCCAACATTAGAGAAGCTGAGGCTTGGATATATTTAAAAGTTGATTATACTGTTTTTCCTAATGGTTCTTCTTAATAGAAATTCACTCCAAATCAAGAAACAGAAGGAAGCTAATGGTATATTATCGTAACAAAATTGTTAAAAAAAAAATAGAAAATATTAAGAAAATAAATACCGCAGTTTCTGATGATTCTTAGTGTTGCTATATGAACCCATCAAATGGTTGAAATTGTAGTTAATTTTATAAGAATGGTCATATTGGTCTTAATAATCCTTTCTTTTTCATTTTTTTCTAATATAATTTATTACAGATAATGATGTAAAATATATTCTGTAAAACCTGCAAGCATATAAAACTGTAGGCAATGCATTGTAAATGTTGCTAGTACTTGCCTGACAAAATTATGTCATTTTAAATCATTTTAATAATCATAGAATCATAGAATGCTTAAGGTTGGAAGGGACCTCTAGAGATCATCTAGTCCAACCCCGCTGCACACACAGGGTCACCTAGAGCACGTGGCACAGGACTGCGTCCAAGCGGATTTTGAA